AAAAAAAAAAAAAAAAAAAAAAAAAAGAAATTATGTGATTTTAGAAATAATTTAAAGATGCAGGTCTGGCTTTTTCAGAATGTGGTATCAGTGGAAACATACAGCGCACAGCCTTTTGGATCCGACTGCTTTCACTGAGGATGCATTTAAGAGCTCCTCATGCTGTTGTGTGCGTGTTTGTTCTTTTTCTCTGATGAGTAGTACTCCACTGTATGGGGATACTCTAGTATGTTCGTCCATTTACCTCCTAAACGGCATGCTGTTATTTCTGTGCTCGGGAGATTACAAATACATCCACTATCAACATTCATACTCAGGTGTTTGTGTACGCTCCTGGGAGTGCATTCACTAGGAGCAGGATCAGGAGCTGTCACAGTCCTAGAAGACTTAGCTTTCATTCACCAATTGATTTATCAGCAAAAATAAAGCAGAAAATGCAGTGGGTCGATGTAAATGCAATAATATCTATTGTTCAGGTCGGCAGTTTGTTCCTGTACCGTATGATATGAACTAAAATGTGGCAGGAAAGTTCATTGATTTAAATGCATATATTATGAATTAATACAAAAACTTTACATACGTTTAAAAAGGAGATTTCCAGTGGGACTATCAACAATCCTTGCTTCCTATATGTGTGAAGATCTTCAAGTTTTTCATGTTTCAATCTTTTTATAAATTCTTCTCACTCAGCTTATACATTGGAGACTAACTTGGGACATTTCCCACATTTGACTGAACAATCATTCAAGGAATCATTCTTTCTCAGTGCTGGGGATGGAGCCCAGGGAACCCAAACTCTTTCATGCCATTTTTAACTATGTCTCCTCAAGCGTAAATATACTTCATCAGACTCGGTGTTTCTGCCTCTTCTGTCTGTAGACGCTGCAGTCAGACTTGCTCATGACTTTGTACATTCCCTCTTCATGAGCCCTTTTCTTTTAATGATAAAAAATTCTTTTTAAAGGTACTTTATACTAGTTTTATTGAAATTATGAAATGATGTGAGTTTTGAAAAATGTTACCCTTGATATTATTTTTATAATTAAAATAGAAAGCACATTCATTCTGCTAATCATGGGCAAGTGTCTCCTGTACTTTGCTTTGCAAACAATCACGGATAGGTAAATATAAAGTCTGTGCAAAAGCTTAATCCTGCCGTCGGAGGTAGGCCAAAGCTACGGTCAAAACTGGAAGAGCAGACCGAGCTCCAGACACGAGACATGGAGGGGTCTTCCTGGATGGCCTGCTTTCCTTCTGCGTTGTCTGTCTGTCTGTCTCACACTGTTCTTTGTAGTTGGCCTCCGTGAAAGTACGGAGTTCTCTTGTAAAATTCGGTCAGTGTCACTCCCACTTTCTATTCTATTTAGTTTTTGCGCAGTGCTGGCTTGACTCACCTCTACCAGGGTCCAGCCAACAGCCTCCACACCCCCTGCTGGACCCTTTGGCAAAGTCCTCTCGTTGAACAGAGCAAGGGTAATTTCTTATTCATGTGAGAAAGTGCATCCCTAACTCCTGTCATGAGTAAAAGTAAAAAGTAGGTGGTTTAAAGAGATCAATGTGAAAAACAAAACTTTGAATGTTGTAGATTATAATCTCAGCACTCTGGGCGGAGAAGAAGTTTTCGCTCAACCTGGAAACTTAGTGACACAGTGAAATGCTGTTTCTGCATTTTAGAAAAATATAAAAGGGCTGGGAATGTAACCCAAAATTTTAGCCCAAGGCCCTTGCTTCAGTCCTCAGTAATAAAAAAAAAAATAACTGGAAAAAAAGCAAGGAAAGGAGAATATCTTTACAGTTTCAGAGTAGGGAAGGGTTTATTTAAAAAGCAGTGAAAAAGAACAAGATCTGAAAAAATACATGGATGGATTCAACTACCTTATAATTCAGAATTTCAGTTCAGGAAAGTCAACTGGACATAGAAAACCCACAGGGGAGCATGAGATACTGCAATATGCACTAGCAGAGAGGTTTCATTCAGAACAGTAAACACGGACGTTTCCACAATGAATAAAAAAGGAAATAACAAGCTGAAAGTCAAAGGTGAGCCACATGGGAAGGAGAGGACATGGGCACCCAAGAAATTGAGAAACTTATGAAGAGCGATCACTGGTAATCAGGCAGGTGGAACCTGAGATATAAGGAAGTAGAGTTTTATACTCACAAGATTGAGCTTCTTAAATGTGAAAGTTCTGAACACTGCTCAAATGCACAGTGACGGAATTTATGCACTGTTCCTGCAAAACTCAGTGGGAGAAAAACATAGAAATACCAGAAGGTTGAGAAGTATATATATCCTGACCAACCAATTGTAGACATGGATTTGTATATAAAATCCAGAAATATATTTATACTTGAATATGTGAAGTGGACATTTTTCTAATTGCACTATAAGTTTCATTATGGGAATATCCAACAAGTGGAAGACTATACAGCAGAGAAAAAGAACACTTAGAGACACTTATGTTGATACATACAGATTTGGGAAACATAATACTGGCCAATATGTTAATTGGCATTAATACATGTCTTATGCCATGTATACTGAGTTTAGAAACAGAACCCTATGCTGTATGTTCATTCACAATATGTTTTAAAGGCCTAAAAGCATATGTGAAGATAGTAAACAGCAAATACAGAATAGCCATGGTCCTTGAAGGTGGCTCATGTGTGTATGATGAGCTACAGAGAGGACTTCTGCTGTGTTGATGACATTCTATTTCTGAAAAGGAAAAGAAGCTACACAGATTTTATTTTTGGCACTGAAGATTAAATCTAAAAGCTATATTCTTACCCCCATTTAAAAATTTTTTACTTTGAGACAGAATCTCATTAAGTTGTCCAGGTTGGGTTCAAACTTGTGATCCTCCTGCCAAGCCTCCCAGAGTGCTGGGGTTACGGGTGTGCACCACACTGGGCTCAGATATACAGCTTACATCTTATTTTTATTGATATGCTTTTGTGCACATGAAATATTAAAAATGAATTTTAAAAGTAAAATGAAAACATAGTCTGGGTCACAAGAAAGGTAGATGAAATGGTGACCTTTTCCAGTTTTTCTAAAATGATGCTCAAAATTGCCTATGGGAAAGGATTAGTAGAAAAGCCATGGTTTCCAGCATTAATAGAACATGGACAAATGATGTGATACAAACTGATGCAAATAACTTAGAACTGCTTTTATATGAAGCCCCTGGAATACTGTGATACTGTGACTGCCCAAGTCAAGTTGTTGATAAGTCACTCCCTATTTTAATGTGGTCATGGTGCATCTAATCAACTAAATTCAAAGCCGAGGAAGAGAACAGAGATTGGGTGATGCCGAGCACATGGCCAGGGACCGGGGCATCTCCCCACCCTGGGTCATCGGGCCAGGACCTTGGGAGCGTCTCCTACAAGGCTGACCTCCCTGAGGGATCAGATTCTTAATGCTGACTTCGCCACAGTGAGGGAGTAGCGAGGGGCCTTAGGAGATAAACACTTACAAACTGATGGGTTTGCTGGGTGCCAAGAACGATCTTGTCTGGAATCTGTCCCAGAGGCCACCAACCGTCTAAAACCCAACACAACGAACAGCAGTTAAGGAAGTGGCTATAACTTCAAAGGTACAAGTGCTGGCCTCCTGACTGGTCCTGCCCCACCTTGCTGGCCCAGGTGCCTGCCAGACACTGGGCACCTCAGGGCTGAGCTCTGCTCCCCTCTGCTGCTGCACCCTGTTACCTCACAGCTGGAACCTGCCTCATTTGTCACTGAGAGGCCTGGATTTGGCTTCGGCTCAGGCCTGGCCTCTGCCGGCTCTGCCATGGTTTCCTGAGCCCAGAGCTTCCACCTGCCTGGCAAGGGCTCAGGACACCGAGGATGAACTTACCACATTTTTGCAAGATTTTAAAATATATCAAAGCAGCTGAGAGATCCTTACAATGCAGATGAAATAGTACATTTTAAAATCTCTTAATTGATTTTAATTTCTATGTGAAAATTCCAGGTTTGAGTCTTAAGAAAGCTATATTTTCCCTTTCGCCTTGTTGCTTTTCTCTGTAAAAGCTGACGATGCTTCAGAAGATAAGTGGGGTTTCTTAATCTGGGGCTCGTGTACCTTTTTGCCACCCCTGTTTGTAATGTATTTTGATCACACTGGTTTCCTTCTTAACCGCAGGGGTCCCATATATTCAGACGTCACCTTGAGAAGTCACCCCACAGTGTAAGCAGAGTCCTGTGTAGGGAGATGTGGCGCAAGAAGATGAGGGAATCGGTGGACATGGAAGCCACTGTGGAAGCAGGGGCAGAGGCATCAGAGGAGCTTGGGGCCCTTGGAATGCCAGGGATGCAGCCCCACAAGCAGCCAGGGATCAAGGAGGGAGGAGGGACACTGTGTGCAAGAGTTGGGATGCAAGACAGGGTGTGACAGACTCAGGGAAAGGGAGGTCAGGAGAGAGGGTAAAGGATACAACATGGAGAGATGTCTGGTGGAAGAGGGGAACAGCAGGAGAGAAAGAATGGAGCTGGGGAAAGGAGGTGAAGAGTAGCCTATGGGCAGACTAGGTGTGCATCATGTCAAGGAGCATGGACTATATATTGTAAAGCAGATGGGTTTCATCAGTGGAGTCACATGGCTGATACACTTTTAAAAAGGTATTTCAGCTGTTAAATGGTTTCAATGAGCTACAGGGTAAAATCTTGGTATTTGGAAATGAGAAGAAGGAACGTCTCTCCCAACAGCTAAGGATGCTCTGCTACATCCCCAGAGGATGTGACAGAGAGCACCCTGTTACTCAAGGGTCCTCCTGCTCTGCCTTGGGGAGCACAGAGCTAAGGTCCAGGATGCCGGCATAAATTACCGGGTGCAGTCATGTCCGTCTGTGTCCTCTGTTACTTACTTTTTCTTCTGTGATGCTACAAATGAAGTCACCGCAATTTACTTTGGAGAAAGAGGTCATCTTTAAATAAGCAAGTGTCTTTAGCATAGAGAATGTTAAAGAATCTGTAGTTATTAATGGTTGTCATGGTTATGGCACTTTAACTCATACCCAGTTTTTAACAATAAAGCATTGTCATCACTTAAAGCTTTGGTGCTCAGGTCGAGTACAGTACGGGGCGCATTGCCGCTGTGGGTATTCACTGACCTGGGTGATTGCTGGTGCGCTTTCATATCTCTTCAGGGTGCAATTCTGTGAGACGAGGTCAGCAGCCTTTTCCACCGTTGTTTCTTCTGGGTCAAGTTTTGGTGGCAGCATCTTATCCCAAGGGACAGTTTCATAAGCTCTGGGGAATTATTAGGTGAGGACATTTTAGTAGAGCACACAGTTAGCTGTGAAGGCTCACAACAGTCATATACTGTGATAGGCAGGAGCCCAGGTGATACCAGATCCCTGCTCCTTGGCGTTCACACCCGGCAGAGCCCTCTGTCCCTGCCCCGGGCGGCCACGAGCAGTGCACCTGCGGTGTGTGGTTCTGAGTGTTGAAATGGGCTAGGAACCCGTGAGTGAGGTTCCTGGTCAGTTGAGTCTCCATTCCTCAAAGGGCGAGCTATCTGGAGGGGGCCTCCTTGAGCAAGCAAGCCCTGAATAGTGCCAAACAAGAAAAGAAAAAAAGAAAAAACAGTAGCAGATGCTTGTTGGCTGCCCTGGAACAAAGAACTCACGACTCCCAAGGCTGCCATTTTGCTGAGAGCCTAAACGATCCTGGAAGCCGAAACCCAGCGCCGGCAGACACCTTCATTCCAGCCTGGAGAAGGCCTGACAAGGAGCTCCACAGGTCAGGTCCTGCCTGGACTTCTGACCCGCAGGCCGTACGATAACAGAAGCCACTAAATTTGAGGTGATTCGTCGCTCAACAGTGGAAAACCGATACGTGTACTTACACACATCTTCCTTTCCAAAAAAGTTTCACTTGACCTTCACTGCCGGCCCAGCAGACCATTAATTTATAAATAAATGATTGCTTTGAAAATTGATTTTGCTTGCTTCAGGTCACTCCGCTGCTGAGGGTCAAAGTCAAGACCCAAGGTCAAATCACCTCCAGTTAAGAGTCAGCACCGTTCCCACTTTCCCCGTCACAGCCACCAAATCATAGAGCTCCTGAGCACGGCACACGGCTCCAGCCACCCCACTAAGTGCAGTGATTTCACACACTCTCAACGGGACTGACAGAGTGAAGCTGAAGTAAAACTGTGCCTCTGCGTTGTGCACAGGCTGGGAAAGGACTTCCGGCCCCCGGAGGGCTGCGCGGTCCACACGCACCGCTCTTCCGTGTGCCCCTGGCAGCTGCTTCTCCCCTCCGCACTCCTTTCTCCTGCTGTGCCTGCGTTTGGCTTCTGCTAATCACTCTGCTGCGTTCTAAATCGCAGGTCAACATGCTCACGCATCTGGGCCTCACTCCCATGACCTACCTGGCATGAGGCACCCTCTTCAGCTGCCTTCCCCTTGCAGACTCCCTCGGGTGATCTTCACGCTCCTCCTACCTTACTGGCCTCCTTCTTAGTGCCTTCCACTAGTCCCTGCTTTCTTGTCTTTCCATGGAGGGATGCTAAGATGGCGCCTCTCTGCACTTCTCCTTTAGGATCCCAGCCGTAGCTTCTGTACACTCCAGTTCCTGGACCTGTCTCTCCAGCAGATTCTCTGCATGGCTCCGGGTCTGTTTATCCCACTGCCTACTTGGCATGTCCACCGGGATGTCTAATGAACACATACGTAGTCAGCACGTCTAAAGCTGTCCTCCAAGTTTCCATGCAAACTTGCCTTGCTCCTCCTGCGTCATCCTGTAAGGGAAAGGGTGCCTTGGCCCACCCGGCTGCAGAGGTCAAAGCTTCAGGGTCATACTGGACTCCTCTTTTGAGATGTTTTGCTGCCCCTCGGGCTGGCCACTCAGATTGTATCCAGAGGCCAAGCCCTGTCCACACCTGCTGTACCAGCTACAGCCCTTCCGCAGGCTGCCAGTACCTCTGTCCCAGAGGACAGCACCAACCGGCCTCTCCACACGGGACCCACGCCGAGGGCCGCACCAGGGTGGCTTTAGCGCAGAACCAATCCTGGCTCTTCTCGCCGGAGGCCCCTGTGGCTCAGCAGCAGCCCTGGTCGGTGCACTCGGTGAAAGCACCCTGCAAGGTCTGGTTCCACGCCCTCCTCCACCTTCTGCTGCGGCTGCTGGCTACTCGCCTCTTCCTGTCCCGCTCAGGCGGGCCGCCTCCCGTTCCACCCGAACACCTCAAGCACACTTCCAAGCAGGCACAAGCACCCTCTGAAGCTCTGGGCGTCAACCCCGCGCAGAACAGTCACCCCGAACCTCTGCCCCGCTGCTCCACACACACCAGGCTGCCGCTCCTGCTGCTCACTGGGGCGGTCTTTCCACACCTCTGCTGAAGAGTGAAGCCGCCTGTCCCAGACCTACGCCCCGCCTCAGCTCCTTGCACTCCACCTTTCTTTGTCTTTTATTCACAGGTGTATCCGCTCTGAAGCAGGCCCGTTTCCTTTCTTATCAGGTATCTTCATGATTCTCATGGTCTGATTTGTCCGCTGACCCATCTCACAGATTCCTCCTGGCACTCAACGTGCATATTGGCTGAGCCAGGGAATTGCCCTGCTCCAAGCTTTCTCAGCAGTTCCTCTCCATAACTGTGACCCCTCCTCTCCCTCAACTTCCTTTCTCCATTACTCTTACACTTCTATTAAGCGTAAGTAAGTGTTCTTTAAGACCTGGACAGGTCAGTCAACCTGAGTAAGGAAATGTCTGTGTTTGACGTTCTCTGTGCTACTCATAGGATGGGGATATCAGTACACTGTAGATGAGTCATTAGAAACAAAGAAATACACTTTAGCATGACATTCTATGCCTACTTTTGTGTAGAAGATTTGTAAAACGAGTCCTTCGCGCTGTATGTTTTGTTTGGTTGCACAAGCGGCTTGCCGTCACCCTGGAAGACAGAAGTAATAAAAGAAACTAAATATAAATGGATACACGCCTATATTTGTTTAACTGAGTAACCAATTTGAAGATAACTGTATGTAGTACAACAGCCATTGTCAATTTCCTATCACCTTGTCTGAAACTCTGTGTAGCTTCTATTGTTTGGGTGTAGCTTTGTTTATGTCTGTTTGTTAATGTGTTTTCATTCCTTTACCTTTATTTTTCTTTTCTTTTCTTTTATTTATTTATTTTTTTTCTGGTACCGGCAATTGAACTCACGACCTTGCACTTGACAGGCAGGGCACTGTGCCACTGAGCTAAATCCCCAGCCTCTTTTATCTTTAAAATAAAAAATAAATAAATATAAATGGAGCTTGCTATTTTTCTATTCACTGTGTTTTTTTAAACAAATGCTTTCCTACTTTTCTTCTTGTGTTTTGGAAATTGACATATTTATATTCTTGCACTATTAAATTAAAATTTATGAAATGCATATTAAATTTAATGGAACATTAATTTTTTCATAAGAAGGTGCTTAAATTTTAAACATTAGCAAAAACTAGTTTTAACACAGTGTAAGTAAAACATTAAATTCTTGTCTGGGAGATAAGTTCTCAGATACTTTCTCATCTTCCACCTTATTTAACCAATATTAGTCAATTATTTAGTATTATAATCAGTATTATTCTTTTATGACTAGCATTTATTTAGATTTTTAAAGATTTCTTACCCACTCTGTGCCCGCTTTTGCATTTTTTAGCTACTTGGCTTTTCTTAGTTCACGGTTCCATTTTCTTTGCTGCTGAAGTTCAGTTTTCAATAATGCTTTCAAAGATGTGAAAGTCTAGTTTTTACCTCACCCTCACGTTTGAAAAATCTAACTGGCTTAGAATTCTAGTCCAACAGTTATGATTCTCTAATAACAAATAAAACTAATCCACTTCCGGATGGTAGTGCTGCCTAAGTGTCCTGAGTGTAACTTTGCAGATGTTGCGTTTTCCCCCGTCTGGTTGCAGTTGGTATATTATCTTGGTTTTTCTACAGTTTTAATACAATTTCTTGAGAAGAATACACGTTTATGTTCATCTGGGGCAGAATTTTTGATGTTTCTCCAGTCCAAGATGCCCCACATCCAATGTGCAGTTCTATGTCTTATCTCTTTACTGTTGATGCATATTCTTTATTTCCCCCCACCTTTAAAAAAACTCCTACCAGGCAAATGTTGGACGTTTTACTCTGTCCCCTGAGTTTCCTAATTTCCATATCACTTCGCCTCTAAGTTCTATGTGCACGTGTCACTCTATGCCTTCAACTCCCTGTTTGTCATTTCCTTATCATTTGTGTCTGACTGTATTTAATCCTTTTTAGTTTTTCATCAAGGCTAAAATAATTAGTTTTCTCCATTTGGTGAACATGTTGAATCACACTGATTTTTTTTTAATGGAAATGAATATATTCTTCAGATTAGTTTCACTTGATCTATTTATTTATATCTATATCTAGATATAGATAGATAGTTATCACTCTTTGTATAAGTTTCAGTTTTGCTTTGCTAAAGTTATGTGTATCTGTGTACAGGACAAATATCAGTTTTTAATGTCCTTTCTTTTTGGTAGTATGCTTGTCTGGTTTTGTTATTAGGTGAAGTTAGGCTCCTAACAGAAGTGTGCTCCATCACTGTCTGAAATAACTTACCTAATATCAGTGTAATTTTATCCTAGAACTCTGCAGTGAAACCATCTAGGCTTGGAGTTTGGGGAGATAATTCTGCTTTTTTACATTACATTTAATAGATACAGGTGTTCATGTTTTCTATTTTATCTAGTGCTAATTTTGGTAAATTATAATTGTAAAAGAATTTTTCCTTTTTATCCAAGATGCACAATTAATTAGTATACTATAGCAAAATGTGTAACATTGTCACGTTTTACTTTTAGTGACTTTTGTAATTATCCCTTTTGAATTTCCTGTATTAATATTTATAGTCTCTCTTTTTCTTGATCAGACTAATAAGAGGTCTATCTTTTCAAGTAAAAATTATAGAAAACAATATGTAACTATTATTCAAATGAAAATAATTGTTTAGTAAAATTTATATGTGCATTATGTACAACATGATGATTTGTATACATTGCATAATGATTGCAGTGGTCAGATCAATACATCCATATCACTCATAGTTATTGTGTGTGTGTGTGTGTGTGTGTGTGTGTGTGTGCTGGGAATACTTAATGTGTTTCCTTATCAAATTTCAAGTAAATAATACAGATTATTAACTATAATGCTGCACAGTATATTTTCAGAACGTATCCTACAATTGAAGGTTGTGTGCCCATTTTATTCTGACGTTCCTTGTGTCACTGTCATTTAATTTATTTCTTTGCTATAACCCTGCAGTAGAGTGCCACTGCTCTTGCTTTGAATGGTGATACTTTGAAGAATTTCAAACTAGGAACAGTCCTTTCCATTCCTTCTTGTCTTTAACATTGCCATTCCCCTCACCAGCACTTCTTTCTGTGGACTCACATTTCCCTGTGGACTGTCTTCTTCTGTCTGCAGACTCCCTCCAGGTTTGCTGGCTACGCTTTCCTTTGGCTTTGCTTTTCCAAAGTTGTCCCTACATGGTCTTTCACTTCGAATTTTTTTTTTTTGTATTAGTACTTCTTTCAGGAGATGGTTCTTAAACTATCTCTGTTTTTATAGTGAGCATCTGTTACTCCATCTGCCCTACTTTGTCATTTTTCTTGTATTTTTATATTTCTCCTTTTGTGCTCTCCTTGTGTTCATTTTGCTAGATGTTCCCTACATGTTCAAGAACAGATTCTCATTAACTTGAAGGCCTAGTGAGGAGAGATCATCTAGACTGTTCAGCAGTCCCCACAGCAGAGGATGACTCAACCCAAAATGTTGGTTATGCCGTTTGATTAAATGATATTAATTCTGTTTAATTGTTTAGACTTTCTTCTTCAGGGACTGCAGTTACACTCCAGTTACATTGCTTCTTCTATGCCTGTCTTCCATGGCAGCCACTTCCTGACACTGTTCAACCCGTTCCTTATCTCATTTTCTTCGTCCCGCACACTCTTCTGCCTTTCTTTGAAGTCTCATTAAAATTTGTAGCCTCTTTTCTGTTGCTTCTCTGTAACTAAGTATTATGCCCTAACGTAAAATTATTTCTTACACTTTTCCCTGACCATGTTATTCATTTTTTGTTTAAAAATTTCTGTACAAAGGTAACCTTTTATAGCTACAAATGCTTATCCATTTTGAGTGCTGTAGTATAATTTCTTGTTGTACAGTTGATTCGGGGGCTGATTTCCTTCACTGGAAGATTTTACTTCTCATTTTCTATTTTATTACAATTGCTTTATCGATTTATTCCATCTTCTTTTTTTTTTGTTTTTGTTTTTTGTTTTTCCAGTACCAGGAATCGAACTCATGACCTTGCACTTGCCAGGCAGGCGCTGTGCCACTGAGCTAAATCCCCAACCCCATATTCCATCTTCTTTTTTTTTTTATTTTACAAATAAAAGGAGGAAAATATTAACAGACAGACAACATTTTACAAAATAGCAAAGGAACAGTACAGACAGTACGGAGTTACAAACAAAGTGGTAGGGAATTAACAATGCTTGTTGTATTACATATTGATATCTTCAAAGTGGTTTCTCATGAAAACAGATATAGACATGCAATGCTGATCAACCAAGGACTCACTCACAGTTTCTTTCAGCAAAGAAATACAAGACAGTAGAACAGCCATGTTGACTATCCTGCATATACATACATACAAACTTTCTCCTTCTTTCCCTTCTCTTTTCGCATATCCCAGTGGCCCTTTACCTTTGAGTGCTTTCCTATCAATTCACAATGTCTACCATATCTCCTAGTTTAAATTAACTCTTTCAGGTTTTACACTAGTGAAACAATACAGTGCTTGCACATGTATGTTTGATTTATTTCACTTATGAGTATGGTCTGTATTCCATCTTCTGTTCATTGGATCCAGTCTGGTTTACACTGTTCTTAACTCAGTGGTGCCCTCTTCCGTCAGTGTAGTGCAGTACAATTTCTTTAATAAAATTTTGTTGCTGGTGGTGGTGGTCGCTGCAGGAATTGTGTGACCTCCAATTATTTTATCCTCTTTTGTCCTTCTGGATCTGAAAGGTTCCTCTTTTCCTTCACCACCCACCCTTCAAGGTCAGCTCCCCTTCCTTTGACATTCTCCTCTTCCTGCATGGTCAGTGCCTCTCGGTGACTGTTACTTCACATCCTGCACTTTAATCCCTTTCCTGTAGATTTTTCTACTTCATCTTCCTACTGGTGGCATTGAGATCAATCCCAGACTTACTGCAAGCTCTCTTCTTTCTACTGCACAAATTCCCCAAGACTGCTCTTGTTTACTACAGAAGATTTCTGATGACAGCATGACTTGTTAGGATTTTGTGTTTTCTTTTTCCTTTTCCTTTTAGTAATTTGAAGATTAGGACTTCTCTGTTGCCTCGCTATGTTAAAAGTATGTATCTTATACAGTATTAGGGGGTTGTTCAGCACTGCTTTTGAGGCTTTAGGATAGTGACGGTTATTTTCAGACACCATTGTATGTGGTTCCTCAAAAGTTGTGACTTTTGCTCTTCCTGATCAGTCTCGGCAGATATCTATTGAAATATTTTTTAAAAATTCAGCTTGTGATTTTGGTGATCTTTAGTTTTCCATTTCTTTCACCTTATCTTTTGGAATGATTTTCCACATTCTTCTAACTTCTTGAGGTAGAGCTTGCCCAAACAAAAACTGCTTTGTTTTCCTCTGTAATGAAATATACACCTGACACTGTATATTGTGTTCCAGCCTTGACTATAGTTTCATTCCACACATTTTATCATAACATTTCTTATTATTCTGATAAAAATATTTTCTAGTTTCCATAATGATTTCTTCTTTGACCCATGACTTATTCATAAACATATTTTTACATTTCCAAATGTGTAATTTAGAAAGGTGCTTTTTTTCTGCTATAATTGTCTTGTGGTCAAAGAATATATTCTATATGATTTTAAATACCTGAAATTTGTGAAAATTTTATTTTATGACATAGTATATGTTTATTTTCCTAAATATTCCTTGAAAATGGTATATTATGTGTTTTAATGTCTTTTCCCATAATTTTCTTGTAAACTTTCTGTGAGCTCTAGCTTTTAGTAAAAACATAGCAATAGATAGGTGTTTTGCTACATTCTGATAATAGGTTTTTTCATTTATTTTGGTACTGGGAATGGAACTCAGGGGGACACTTTATCCTTGAACTACGTCTCCATCCCTTTTTACTTTGAGACAGGATCACTTCAAGTTTCTCAGGTAGGACTCAAAGTGCAGTACTCCTGCCTCAGCTTCCCTAAGTGCTGAGACTGTAGGTATGTACCAGCATTTCTGGATGGAAATCTAACTGGAACATTTAAAACTTTATGTGTAAAATAACTGCTGAACATATATAATTTTAAAACCATTATTTAACATGTTTTACATGGCTTTGTCTCTTTCTTGCTCTTCTTGGATAAATTTTCCATTATTCCATCAGTTGTGTCAGCATTGTTTATTGTTTTTCTGAGTTTAGTGTTCTTACAAATTACAAAATGAATACTTATGTCATTCACTATTACTAGTAATAATTAATCATTTTACTCTCCCTACAGTTTTGGTATATAATTATAAATTATATGGTTTATTTATTTGAATAGTTAAAATTATAAAACATTTAAATTGACAATAGTATAGTTGATCTTCAATTTACAGAATTCTATAAATGACTGTACATAAAGTATCTAGCAACATTTACTTTTATTCATTTATGTTTTGTATTATTCCTTTAAAAATGTAATAGTGCTATGCAATTCAAAATATGGAGTAATCTTATTCAAATAAATATTAGTGTTGTAGTGACAGTATCAGTGCTGCATTAGCAAGATCATCACTTCAGAAAAATTCCAAATTTTCTTACAGCTTGTTTTGGCAGGGGTTAGTGACACACTGAGTCAGCATACAGAAATTGCCTAGTTGCAAATTAAATCTCTGAAAACGTAAAATCTCTTTGATTCTGAGCCTAATAATCGAATGAAAATGTCTCACACTTTGTGGACAGAAAAACCATAGACATTTTTCGTACACTGCAAATCAATCCCAATGCACAGCTCGTACGGGATGCTTCCTGAAAGCTGTGCAATGTAAAGCTGTTGGCTGGAGCTTACTTAATGAGTCCAAGGTGACTCAAGCTTGGTAGTAAGCACCAGTGACATATTTTCTAACATTTAACAAGTACTTAACAGCATGAACAACGATGTTCAAGGAACCATTTAGCACTCTACATAGGTCTAAATATTCTGCTTTATGCCTCAAGATACAATTTTCCATCACTGTGTATTTTTAAAATACTTTAAATGAATTAAGTCAGACTTCCATTGAAATGTTTGTAAACATTTCACTAATTTACTAGCTAAATGTTACAAACATCTGAAGAGGTATGCTTTTTACTAGTATATTTGCTGGCAAAAATAGGAGGGAAGATATAAGCAATGCCAAGTATCACTGTAAGTGACGGCTCCTATCACAGGGTTCTTATCAGGAGTCATCAGAGCCTGCACTCTCTCCGTTTTACTGTCCTTCATCAGGGAGACCATTCCTCCTCCTGAGCTTGCATTCAGTCTTCTGCAGCAGTCTCGGGAATTTGTGTCTGCTCGTTCTCCGGTGGTCCCCACCCTCACCCCTCCTCAGCTTGGTGTGCTGTATTGCAACATCATCTTTCATGGGAATCTGCATTTCATTTCTTTCACTTTCTGATTCTGGCTCTTTAAGGTGTTCTTAACTTATCTTTCATTTATTAAATGTTTTTGATTTCAGATTCTCAGATTTATCATCCACGTGAGTTCCTGAAAGTGGATCTTCATTTTCTAGTGTCCGTTCTCTTGCCTCTGTCTCTTCTTTTCATTGCTGTCTGCTACATTTTCTTGAACCTGAATTGCATGGAATCTACTTCTCACGGTAGATGTCTTTAAAATCCTCCTGACAAGACGAATAACACTGAGGTAGAGTTACATTTATGCCCTAATTGAATGTTTTCATCACCACAGACAGATTCTTCAGTGGTGTCATTATCATAAGCGCATCGCAATCCTGGGATCCCTTTAAGCTCAACAAGACGAAACAGAAGAGGGCTACTGATGTCAAGATCTAAATCGATGCATTTCCTACAGTGTGGAAAAGCGAACCTTTGGAGGCTGTGGTTTCTCCCACCCTCACGTCCTCCATGCCTCGCTTCCCTGTCCCTTTGGGACATGTGCTGCCGCTGCCATTGGTGCCCAGGCTGATGTGGAAAGAAGCACTGCTGTGGCTGCAGACCTCGGTTTACCTGTGTGGGACCATCCCTTGCTGCAGGGTCCCCTCCCTTAATGGGAGAAGATGCCCCAGAGAGACCCCAGAATACACACAGATACAACGACTGACTGCATTCGCATATCTTGCTTTTGCTTTTCCACTTCTGGGATTTCCAATAAGCACAAGCTCATCACAGTTATTTCCTGTGTTTTGGACTCTTGCATTTTCCATCTTCTTGTGTGTTTGTGCTTCACTGTATGTGGTGTCTTGCACCTTATTTACTAGATCACTAACTCTCTCTTCACGTTTGTCTCATCTGCTGCTGCATCCACCAACAAAGTTCTTTATGTGCCGTGTTTCTCCATTCTGGAACTCTTATCTCCCCAGTCTTCTGCTTTCATATTCTCTAACTTGTGATTTATGAAAAGTGTGAGCTCAGCTCTTTCTCTCCTTTTTTTGTTTCCTCTCCTTTCCATGATTCTCACCCATAGTAAACTTCCCATTTATTTGTTTGGATGCTATCGATAGGATATCATCTTATACTGTTAAAGTTATTCACAGAAATGCTTTGAGCCTGAATAAGATATTATCTTCTTCCAAAGAACAATTTTTTGGCCTCTCCTTGGTTCTTGGGGATGACAGCATTCTGGGATCACCTGAATCCCAGTTCAGGACTTGAAATTTTCTCATTTACTTCATTAAGCCAGGGAGCACTCTTTAAGGAATCTTTACTGTTGACCCTACCTTATTTCCAGTGGTCAGGAGTCTAGCTTATCCAGCCCAAAGAAGTATGTGGTTTTCATGGATCAAAAGCTTTAACTTTTGATCTTTTACTCCTGGGGCATCACAGAGAAGTCAAATCAAATTCTGTTACATCTTTCAGAATAATAAAGTCCTGCTAGGTCCAAGGAGCCCTATGTGCTAGGCTTAAACTTTAGAATTTCTGTCTTCTTTTCAGCCCAGTAATTTCTCTCTGCCCTATTAGCTCTGGACACTTTAAAAATAAATATTAATTCAGTTGTGCCATTGGAAGTACAGGTCCATGTTACTAAGTTTCCCCTATTGGAAGTAAAATATATAAATTTAACTTTTGCCCTTAAAAAGTCTGTACTTATTCTAAATTTAACTTTTGCCCTTAAAAAGTCTGTACTTATTCTAAATATTCTAGTAAAGTTTCTCAAGAGAAGCACCTCGTTCAGAACTCTAATTCTAAAGTAGCCACATAGAGCATGTAGCCTTGTCATGAATCTGTAGCTCAGATGAAAATAGACACCAGTGACTTCAGTTTTTTAGAATGTTCACTTTGATTTGCTCTCATGGGAATTACCTACAAGAGTGATGAATCCTTCGATGAGTTCGGACATGGAATAAGCGAAATTAACAAAAACAAATTTTGATTACTTTGCCATCACGTTTAAGAGCCCCCAAATAGGTCCAATTACTCTCAATTCTAATAACGTGACGTTTTTATAAGACAGGAATGCACAGGCGAAGGGAAGACACAGTGCCCTGTCATGGGAGTGCGGCATCTTAGTGCAGGAGGCACTGGTGACACTCGCTTTGAGCTCCGTTCCACAGTCGTGCCAGGGCATGACTGCTGCTGTCTGAGCAAGCGTGTCCCCGTAGTCCGCAGCGGTACAATTAGAAAGACTTGTTGTGACTGGAGAAGTGGGAGGAGAAGTCTACATTTGGAAGGAATCTATATAGGCGTCAAACTGAGGCAGCCTGATTCTTTAATATGCATTCTTATTCTCACTGATAGTACAGTGTCTTTGGGGGTGATGAAAATGTTCTAAAATTAGAGACTGGTGATAATTGTACAATTCTGTGGATATTCTGAAAACAAATTATATACTATAAATGAGTGAATTTTATGGTATGTCAAATATATCTCAATAAAGCCATTTAAAAATACTTTTCACGTCTGTGTTTCCCTCAGGAGTTTTCAGTTGTCCTGGTTTAAATGTAAAAGGTTGAAGGACTGTCAAATCTACACAGGAACGTGACTAAGAACGCAATCTCGTAATTTAGAAATTACGAAGGTGTAAATTTTGTCTTTTAATACTGCCTGACTCAAAGGAGCTGTAAGATCAGTGGGCTTCCCGTTCTCGGGGCGCACATCTACCTTCCTGAGAAGCAGAGGCTGAGGCAGGCTGGCTGTTCACGGGATGTGTTATTGAACAGCTCCCAGCTGGAGGAGAGGAGATCAGGGTGAACTGTGAGAATTAAGACCCCCCGGTGAGAAAATCTTACCGCACATGCCTCCTCCTCATCACCTGCGCCTATGTGACTTATCAAGCTCCGCTCACGAGGAGCTTGTGAGGAAGTAACCTTCACTGGGCTCGTCCAACCTGGAAACCAAAAGTGTATTCCCATGGGTTAAAAACACAAGGAGAAAGTTTTTCTTCCATCATAAATATTTTGGTGGAAGAGAACTAAAGAACTAAACTAGATGGTGTTGATTTTTGATGGATTACCTAATGATTTTTCCAGATCTTTTGTGAAGTGAAAACAGAATACTGCTGCAACTTTAACGTTAATATAGTTATAATTTACACAATAATTTATAATAATTTACATAATAATACAATTATTATAATTTACATGTTAATAGAATTATAATAGTGAGTAATTATTTGGTATTTTAAATTTATTATTGGAAGAGACTTGTTGAGTACTATGTTCTGTGTATGTCTATTTTGATATATTGAGGGTGGTGGTGATACACAACACTAGTTACTATGCAGCTACCTAAACCCTGAGAAACTAGTAATATACAATATTTTACAAAAGTATAAAATCACCCTTCCAAAAGTACTCACTGTACGACTAGAGGAGAGAGCATAAAAAGGAAAAACAGTGCTTCTGATTTTGAGGTGCCCACAAGCAAGTGGGAAATCAGGGCTTATAAACACACACTTTCAAGGTGGCATGACAATCACAATATTAGTTGAGCCCCAAGTCCTGTGGGGGTGCAGAAAAGGGATATCTCGTCCAACCAGATTGTCAGGAGTTAGGAACATCTTCCTGAAGGTGACAGCAGATCTAATCTTGAAAACCAAGTAGGACATAAATTTAAAAAGGGGAAGTGGAGTGAGAGTAGTCATTCCAGGCAAGGAGCAGGCACGTGCGACAGCAGGTCAGCTCTTTGACAGTATCGCAAAGTTAAGAAAAGATAAAATGTGATTATGGCTCGATCATGAAATGGTAGACAAAGAATGGTGGAGAATGAAGAGGAGGAAGCCGGGGTCAGGATAGGAAAGCTGTGGATTTAAGGCACAGATGGGCGGCCCTTGGTGGTTACAGTCTGAGCATGGTTATTTGGGGAAATTACTGTGGGGTGCACGGGTATCTATACACATAAAGACAGTAGTATAGTACTGTCTTTAGTACACAGGAGTCTCTACACATAAAGATAGTAGTTAGCTTTAGTACTTTCCATATTCTTTCCAATCCTGTGGGGAAAGGAGAGGCTTCTGATTTTGCCCTCAACTTTACAAATTTGTCCCACAAATTAATTCACCTTAGAAAAATGTAAGTTTGGGAGTGAGTTCGACAGCACCTACATGTTAAAAGCATGGGAAAGATTAATTATTAGAGATGCTTAGACCAGCACAAGCTCTTAGTATTCATCTGTGGATCCTGCCTAGCAGTTTCTGTATGCTTCTGTGCAAATGCCAGTGACAGATGTGAGTTGCCCATCTGAGCCTCATTTCCCTCACCTTTACTGACTGTTGTCAGAGCTGAAAGCCAGAACTGAAGACTCCAAGGGAACGACATCCATACAGTGTGAGTGTTCACCATGTTTATTCATTAACAGTCACTAGCTCTAGTACTACTGTTTATAGTAGTAATGTAATAATATCCTTTTCATAAAGAAGATAGTAGTTCAGACAATATGTGACTCAGAAACTCAAGATAGAATCTGAACAGGAGACTGGCAAAAGGAGGATAGGAAACAAACGGATGAAAGAGTCTATGAGCTCAAAAAGCCCGGGGAGAGAGATTAGAGTGTCAGAAGGCCTCAATATGTCTTTGCTGATTTGATGATAGAAGCCGCCCCCATGGGAAGGAAGTGGGTAGCCTCTAAGAACACAGTTCATTCCCTGGCTACAGTGAACAACGAAGTGGGTACCTCAGGCACAAGGAACTGAATTCTGGGACAACCTGAAGGACGTTGGAAGCACATTTTCCTCCAAAGCCTTTAGGTAAAAGCCAAGATTACACTCAGAATTTATTATCATTAGGTCTTAAATAGAAGACACAGGTGAGGTTCCTCAGACTTCTGACTTCCTCCCCCAAACTGTGAACTAATTAATTTTTTTGAGCTGTTAAGTCTGTGGTAATTTGTTGTAGTAGCCAGAAAAACCAGTACAGATGCAGAAGTGAGACAGATAGGAACAAAGGTAGAACTGAATTCCATGTAATTCTGGTTTGATAACCATATGGATAATTGCTATTTATGACACATTATGGAAAAGGAAACCATTCCCAAATCTATCAGGCAAAAACCTGTTAATGTTTTCCTCCTTTTATTTAAAAACAAACAAAAAAAGAAACAAAACCACAGGATAAGACTTTATGGTATACACCTTATTTGCAGCCATTCAATTAATTGCTTTGAAGAAGGAGGAAAGAAGTATGGCAATCCTTAATTTTTAGTCAGAGGAGGAGAAAAGACATAGAATGAGGAATTACAGTCATGTCAACAGAATAATCACATTTAGGACAAAGAATGATGTCCCTACCTGCAGCCAGTTTTAGTATCTGCTGCTGCAAAACCAGCCCAAATCTCAGGGCAGAACTCAGTGGCAGAGAACAAGCACTTATTTACTTTTCAGGTGCTGTGCCATACAATCAGGAGGAGAGCTCTAACTTCCAAGCTCATCCAGGGGAAACACAGGGTTGGGTCACATGGGGAGCATCCGCACCTTAGCAAGGGGGATCCCATGTTCCAGCCACTGCTTCTGTCGAAGTAAGCTTGGAGCCCTAGTGGATAAACCCAAGAGAAAAAGGAGGTGGAAGTTTGGTATACTAGCTGACATAGTGAGAAATCGCAGCTCTCGGCTCCTTCCTAAAAAGAGACAGAGTTGACTCATCCTTGTGTGCAGCACCTCATCTTCTTTGGGGTTGCACAAAAAGCCAGCACCTATTTTGCCAGCCCTGGAGCTCCATGGGTCTGGAACAGTATAATTTCACAGGGGAGAATGAGATGGCATTGTGGACTGGTAGAAACCATAGCTCATACCCTGCGCAACAAGGGAAAAGCAGAATAAATTCACATCACTCATCTTCACTTGGAGATGGAAACACTGGTAGAATCTCTGGCCAGGGTGATAAGGAGTACTCTTCATATTTATCACTCCAGTTCAGGAAGACTAGGAGATACGCCTGTTATGCCTCTTTTATCTAATGCACAAACATCTACAAAGAGAGTGAAAGAAAATGAAGACTCAGGCAAAAATGCTCCACAAAGGGAAGAAGATAAGTTCTCAGAAATTTTTTCTGAAAGATGGAGCCACAGTTTTCCTGACAGATAATTCAAAATAATTGCCATGAAGAGGCTCACTAAGGTCAAGAGAACCAGAAGTGAAGGTAGAGAGAGATAGGAACACAAGAATAGTAGGAGACCTCAACACACCATTTTCAATAATAGACACAGAATTCAGACAGAAGATCAACAAGGAAGCAGAGCAGGTAAATGACATATAGACCAACTGGACCTAACGAACATACGTAGAACATTCTACCCAACAGCAGTACATTATAAATTCTTACCAAGGACACACACAGCTCATTCTCTAGGATATATCACATGTTAGGCCACAAAATAAGTCTTAACAATTTTAAAACCAAAATCTTGCCAAGAGTCTTTTGTGATCACAATGGAATGAAGCTGGAAGATAATCGTAGAGGGAAAAATGGGATAATTCACAAACATGTAGAATTTAGTATCAAAGACATTTTCTTTGTGTCAAAGAAAAAAATCAGAAAATAAGTTGATAAAAAATAAAATGAAAACACAATGTACCAGAACTACAGGATGTGGCAAGAGCAGAACGGAGAGGGAAGTTCATAGCAGTAACTATGTGCATTGAAATAGAAGATCCCAAATAAACTGAAACTTATGCCACATGGAACTAGAAAAAGAAGAAAATAATGCAAAAGTTAGAATAAGGAAGGAAATAAAGATTAGAGGATATATAAACAAAAATAGAACATGGAAACTCAACTGAGATAGGTCAATAAATCCAAAGGCTGATTCTTTGAAAACATCATCAGAATTGGTGAGTATTTGGACAGACTGATAAAAAAGAATCAAATAACTAAAATCAGACGTGAAAGAGATGTCATTACAACTGACTTCGCAGAAACAAAACATGATTAAAGAAAGTACTGTAATTGGGCACCACCAAATTTGGTAAACTAAGTGAAATAGACAAATTACTAGAAACACAACCTACCAAAACTGAATCATAAAGAAGTAGAAACTATGAACTAATTTAGAACTATGTAAGGAGATTGAATGAATAATAAACAAAGGAAAGGAAACAAAAAAAAAAATAACAAAAGTCCAAGAGCAAACAGTTTCACTGGAGAGATCTACCAAACACTTAAAGATTTTTCTCACACTTTTGAAGAAAAGTGAAGAGGATATTTCAAACTTATTTTGTGAGGACAGCATTACCCTAATACCAAGACCAGAAAAAGACACAGCAAAATTTTTCAAACATTCTTGATGAATACTGATGCAGAAATCCTAAACAAAATTTTACAAGAGTATTTAACAGCACAGCAAAAGGATAATAAACTATGGCCAAAGAATGCAAGGAGGTGGAATTGTTACTCTTGCTGGGAAGATAAAATGATGCAGTCCCATGGGAAAGGGTATGGCAGTGCTTACAATGGTACACGTTCTTTTCTTGTCTATGATGGATGCTGCAGAGGAGCTGTGGGTGGGTACTGCAGTCTCTCACATGACAACAAGCCAGGCACCTTCTCTTACATCATTTGACCTTTGCATTTTCATGTATTCAGATGTAATGTTTTCTTACTCCTGCCTGTCAAACACAATTTTATATAGGAAATCACCCCCATGGCTCCCTTTGGAGGAATGTCTCACCACTTGGGCCCAGGTCCATGGTGGTACAGTAGAGGGTTCACAGAAAACTAAGGCTCTGTAGATGTCAGTACAGGATCATCAGTCCTGCATCCAGATTGTGGCACTATTTGTGCAGGGCTTGCTTCCTTTCAACTCCTAACTGGACCTGCACAATTACTTTCCTCTTCTTTCTGAGTTCATTTTAGCCCCTGTACTCTCATAACCATCAAAGACTTTTCCAAGGGAGAGATACAGAGGAGACTTGCTGCAGTTACTAAAGGGATACATAAAACCTCTTGCAGTAAAATAAGTCTGTGTCTATAATAATTTGTTGTATATGTTGCATTGGTCACTTAACCTAACAAAACATCTTTTCTTTTTAAGCTAAACTTTGTTTTACAAGTAGGCTTATTTATCTCACCATTCTATGGTTTCCTTAAAATGTGTGATACAATATAAAAATAATAGCTTATAATTTTATGCTAATTTTACTGCAAAAATTCTAACTTTTTTGAGACAGGATCTTACTATCCAGTTCTGGCTGGCCTTGAACCTACTATGGATCCCAGGATGGCCTCAAACTTCTAGTGATTCTCCTGCCTCAGCCTCCTGAGTGCTGGGGTTACAGGCATGCACCACCATGCCTGGCCAAAAATATTCTAATTTTGATAGCCATGCCCTCCTCCCTCACTGGAGTATGTAAGGCACATAAAGTCCTTATTGCCTTATTTACCTCCAAGTCTTGCTCTGATGGAAATGTCTGGTACTTTCCTGGAATTCCATCTCCTGTCTTGTTGCAGTTCTTGTGACAGTATTGTTTGTCTTTTGACTGTCGATTGAAATCCTGTGTCTGGTCTAGGAACTCTGTGTTGAGGTTTCACATCACTGAAATCCACCAGGTTCGGTATGGCTCTGCCAGTACCAGGCTTTAAGTCAGCATCACCACCGGAACTCACAAACACTGAACAAGGATCTTCTAAGGGCACATCATCCCGAAGTGGAAATAAGGCATAATTTGGGCCCAATGGTGGTGGATAAGGGTGATACAAATGGTAGTCAGGCAGTCCTGAAGGGGGGTAAGGATGAAACTTAAGAAAAGTAGGGTTGCCTTTCTTCTCAAATCTGCCGAAATCATGTCTGTCCTCAACCCCTCTCACAAAAGGCATGTTCATTTTTCTTAAGAGATCACAGTAGTGTGGGTAGTCTGTATTCTCAACTGTTTTTTTTCCTGAAAAGATGAACTTCTCAGGTATACTTATCTTTCCAGATTTGTACTGAACTCCCATATCCACGGCCTTCCTCTGTAATTTTTGAGGTTGGTAAATTGTGTTGTTCTGATGACTCTTCTCTCTTTAACTATAAAAAGTCTTGAATTTCTGATAATTGAAGACCACAGCTAAAGTAGCATAAAATTATTGATTCAGCTTTCTAAATATCGGCAGAGTACTATTTTTTAAGGTAAAGGATTTTTATCCATCAAAGGAAGGATAGGGCAGTAATATAAGAAGAAAAGTAGAACTCTTGTTGCTTGGCAACAGTTAGAACTCTAATGCCCAGAACAAAATATATATGTCATAATGTAATTCTAAGGAAAAACAAAAAGTAATCTGTGCAGTAACAATTCCAATATATTTTTATCTCTAATACTCAAGAAAACTGTGATATTTATTTTAAAATTTTCATACGTTGGTATCTCATGGGTAAAATGTATTCAGTTAATGAGTATTGAGCAATTGGTCTAATGAAAATATATTTTAAACAATAAATATAGGATTACAATGAAGTATTTAGCTGATATATAACATTTATCTACATGCACTTCAAAGCTTAAATGCACTCTAAGCTTAAATTCACTTCAAAAGAAACATGTATTATAATAAAGTTGTTATATCTCATTTTTAAGTAAAGCAATTCATAAGTTACAGTCAAAGGCGAGGCTCATTTGTACGTTTGAAATTATTCTTATTTTAATGCTATTATGATGTCCAGAATAAGAGCAATGTGAATTTTTAAATTAGTTCAGGAAACTACAAAATGTTATCAATTACTAGCCCACATTAAAAGATCTCATCTAAATGACTGATGTAGCAGTGCACTTAAAACTTATTTTCAAATAATTTTATTTTGCCTAAAAATGGCTACCAAAAACATTCCAAAGATTAGAATATGGGGATAAAATCTCACATCATCCTTAATAAAGCAAATGTGCAAATCATGCAAAATCCTAGAAGGGCCAGATACATATAATTCAAGTAACTGTAAAAGCAAAAGTTTAAGATGTGGTGAAATGAGAATGTCCCATCTGAAATCAGTAAAATTTAGAGATGTACTACTAACATTAAGGGAGGATGTTTTAGATGGTTAGGCTGCCTGTTTGAAATCATGACATAGAACATTCAAAACATACCTAATACATGCAGTGAGTGTCTAACTCTACTCATAATCACTTCATGTAGAAGGTGACAGCAAATTTCTTGTTAGGCACTGTCTTTAGTTGCTCAAAGTTCCATGTTTAATTTGCACCTGCTTTATATGATTTACATTTATCATAGATATTATTATTAAGCAAACCCTCCAGAAGCAGAGGAGAGAGATATTATTCTTTTTCTGATTTCTTTATAACATTTTCTCCCTATAAATGCCTCTTTAGCTCATAGTGCCTTTTTATGTTTTTTTTGTTTTTGTTTTTGTTTTTGTTTTTTTCTTTTCTGAATTTAGGTGAAAGATCCTTTTCCAAGATGGGTACTGCGTGAAATCAATTCCATCTATGGTCCTATCCTCCATTCATCCACTGAGCTTTTCCTTGGGACTAAAAGCATGACCTTTTATTGCCACAAGGTGTGCACTGCGATTGTCAAGAACCACACATTAACACATTAGTTATTGATACTACTAGATCCACGCAAACTCTGGATCTATTGAAACTCATAAATTCTATTTGTTGCTTGAAGTTGGCTCCCAAAGTCTGCCAGTATGCAACCAGTTTATATAAAAAGGGTCTTGCCAGACTAGCCGTGGCGGTACACGCTTCTAACCAGACAGTCTGGGAGGCTGAGGCACGAGGATAGCAAGTTCAAACACAGCCCAGACAACTTAAGTGACTCAGTGAAAGCTTATTTCAAAAATTAAAAAAAAAATAAGTAACAGGCCTAGAGATGTAACTCTGGGCTCGATTGTAGGTTTCAGGATTGAACCTAAAAAAAAAAAAAAATCTTCCTTCGGTCCACAAATGTCACTCAAAGGTAAAGGCACAGGCTCTGGCGTTCCACTCCAATGTAGATTCTACCGTAAGTAGTTTATACTCCGCAGTATTCCCCAAGAAGCAGTATTCCCTGCCCTCTGGAGTCAGGTTCACAGGGCAGCGCCCCTCCAGCCTGGTTCCCAGCGGAAGTGCAGGCGCGTCCGGCGGAAATGGCAGCGCTCGCATCCGGTCCATTCTTCCCGCGGCCGCCCTGTAACTTCCGGCGGCGGGTGGGCGCGCGCCCCGTAACGACCTTCTTTTCCGAGGGTCGGCAGGTGGCTGCGGCGTGGCATGGAGGCCTCGGCCCCCGGCCGGGCGTGGCGGGGCTGGCGGCGGGCCCGGGCCGCGGGCTGCCCACTCTCCCGGGCCACCATCCTTTTCTTCTCCGCCTTCCTGGTGCGGGCGCCCTCCTCAGGTGAGGAACGGCGCTGCCGGGCAACCGCGGCTCCCGCTGAGAACAACTGTTTCCGGTGTCAAGGGCATTGGGTTCCTGCGAGGAAGCACGGCATCCCTTAATACCCAGAGAGCAAAGCTGGAAAACTAATAATGTACACATAGAACAGATCACTGAAACAACCCCAGATAGAGTTTGAAATTTAATGTACTTAATAAATCCCCTAATTTAGGTTCGTGGGCCGTTGGCCCATGGTCTGTATTTCCGTGGATTCTATAAGGATGTATTGAGTGTTTCACAATGAGTAGGCTTCTGAGTGCTTTAAAATATCCGTGACCATGGAGCGCCATCTATTGGTTTTCGATGTGAAATGCAAGATCCATTTGGAGTTTAAATTTTGACAACTGAAGAACTGAATTATTTCTGATATGAACAATGTCTGAAGAAAGAAGGGAGCGTTCAGGCCAACTATTGTTTAACTAGAAAGTTTTTTTTCTGCTTTATAACTCCTCCAAGAATATAAATGCAGAAGGAATGTGGCAATAACCACGGGTGGAGAAAGGAAAGAAATCATAGGTTGCAGATTACAAAATGTGTGAAAGTCCAGGCATGCAGAATCCAAAGCTTATTCTAGGAGAATATAGCCAGTAGCCTGTAGTTGTCCTATTAGAGAAAGATGCTTTTGAATATGGTTCATGGTCTTGCACCTAGGTGTGACAGAGTATGTTTTTTGTTTTGAAAGCTCAGCTGGCTTTTTTCTTTTCTTTTTTTTTTTTTGATCAATTAACAAGACTAGGTCTCTGAGATTATGAGAAGTAGGTAAGCAGTCAATAGATTGACATGGAAACTGTGAATAGTAAAGGCCAGATATTTATATGGCACCTTGCAGTTTATACAATATTCCACTCAGCTCCTACAATGATTCTATAAGCTAGAATTATTGTCAGCCCAATTTTGCAAATAAGGAAACTGCAGTTCTTAGAGTTTAAAATGATTTCCCTCAAACCAGTTTGGAGCAGAATTTGGATTTAAACTCGGGTTGTCTGGCTTCTAATATCACACCCTTTCCTTTGTACTTTACTTTGTGCTGTGAAGGTTATTTAGGTATAATGCTTACGGTACTGAATTTTTCTCCAGCCGCTTTTCACAGTTGCTATTCATACTATCATGCCTATCACATCTGCTCATTCAGCTAGGAATAAAAAATACCAGGGTATATTTTACAATTACTGTTTAATAGTTAGGCACAAGACACCGTGCTGGGTTTTGCTGCTTATAAATCCACAAGCACTGATGCTTCCATCAATGGAATTTATAATCTAGTGAGGCAATTATGTATGTGCATAAATATATTCCAAAGTATAATGAGTGTTATAAGAGAGGTACTGGTGACATGCCATGTCAGGTGAAAAATATGGAAAAACAGGTTTGAAGGGGGAGCATTTGTGATTTTAGTCTTGAAAAGTGAGTTACTTGGATTTAAAAGTGTTCTATGGTGCTATAGGAAAAGTGTCAGGTGAGATATATTAGGGAGAAACAACAGGTAGATTGGTTCTTTAGGCTGTATGAAGGGGAGTACATCTGGGAACCCAGAATCAGATGTCAGAGGAAGACTGGATTATGGTTTTTCCCTTTGAGGGAAGACCAAATATACTATGATACTGTAGTATTTTTAATATTTTGTTATATAGTGAGGCAAACTGTTAATCATTTATTTTACACAGATGGGTATTTGGCTCTGTTGCCAAGAGGTTTTCGCCTGACTCAGGAGCCAGTGAAAATAGTAGGATCATCACATTTTCCAGGTACTCATGAATAGATTTTCAGTAATTTAAAGACAGTTACTAGCATTCACTAAACTTTTAAGCCTTATCTAAATGATTAATGTCCCTCAGCTATTCTGGTTCCATAAGGTCTTTTTCCTTCTGCAAAAGTGAAATAAAATGTTTATGTTTTTAGAATTAGTAAGGTCTAATTCTGTATGTTGTACCTGCTTAAGTGTGCAAAAGTAATTATTTCTAAAAAATAGTTATTGACACTATTTATATTTGCTTGTCATTGTACAATATTAGCTATATAATTAAATATGGACAGCTTAATTATGCTAAACATTTTTCAGATAAGATCTACATGTCACAAAGTTTTTGGGTTTATAAGATTTTATAATAGTCATATGAGATGCAAATAAGGATTTTTGTGTTGACAAGTTTGGATGGCTATCACCACCATGTAATTTCATATTTTCATCACCCTCAAAAGAAACATTGTACTTACTGACCAATCCTTCTGCAGCCCATAGAACTATTACCCTATTTCCTTTTTGTTTATATTTACCTGTTCTGGATACAAGTGAAATCATGTGCTGTGTGGCCTTTTGAATCTGGGTTCTTTTACTTAGTTTAATGTTTTTGAGCTTCATCCATGCCGTTGAATATATAAGAACTTCATTCCTCTTTATGGCTGAATATCTTCTGTTGTATGTGAATGTATGTTTTCACTGTTCTTGGTTATAGAGTAGAATTACTAGGTAATATGTGAATTCTACTTTTAGCATTTTGAGGAGCTGCCAGGCCACTTTTCAAAGAGTGTAAACTAATTTGCTTTGATGTCCGTGATATATGGGTTCAGATGTCCCTACATCTGCATCACTACTTGTTATTTTAATCTGTTTTAAAAAATTACAGTGCATGTGTGAAGTGGTATCTAATTGGCTTTTTGAGGTGTGTTTTTCTAATGACTCGTGATATTGTGACTTCATATGTATTTTGGCTATGTGGGTATTTTACTTGCGGAAATGCCTATTGAAGTCCTTTGCCTATTTCTTAATTGGTTTTTGTTGTTGTTATTGTTCTTGAGTTATAGAGTTCTGTATATATTCTGGCTAGTAGACTTTTATCACGTAAACAATTTTCAAATGTTTTTTCCCATTCTTAGATTGCTATTTTGACTTTCTTGATCTAGCTTTTGAAATAAATATTTTGAGCTTTGGTAAAGTCTAATTTCTATTTTTTTTTTTTTTATGCTTTAGGTGTTGCATCTAAGAAATTATTTCCTAATAAGTAGTCACAAAGTTTTATTCTTTTGTTTTTTGATAGGCGTGTTTTTTTGATGTTTCATGTAGGTGTTTTGATCCATCATGATAATCTGTATTATGATGCAAGATACAGATCAAATTCATTTTTTATCATATGATTATCCAGTTGTTTTAGCACTATCTGTTGAAGAGACTATTTTACTTTTTACTGCATTCTCTTGGAAACTTATGAAAATAATTAGCCACAGCTGTATGAGTTTATTAGAGGTTTTACATTTTATTTTGTTCATCTGTATGTCTATCCTGCTGCCAATGTCTTGCTGTCTTGGTTATTGCTTTACAATAAGTTTTGAAGTCAGTAAGTGCAAGTACTTCAAATTTGATCCTTTCAAGATTCTTTTGGCTACTGTTTGTCCTTTGGAACTTCATATGCATTTTATACTCAAACTGCCAGTTTCTGTAAACATATGCAGTGGGATTTATCAAGCTTTGAATTTTTAGTTTAATTTTTGGTACTTTAACAATCTTACATCTTTCAACCCTTGAATGTGAAATGTCTTCCCATTTATTTAAATTTGCTTTAATTCCCCTTCATGATATATTTTACTTTGTGGTGTGCAAGTCTTACGTTTCTTTTGTTAAATTTATATTTATTTATTATACTGCTTACATTTAATTCTAAATATTTTATTATTTTTGACCATATTATAAATCGAAGGATTTTACTTACTTTTGGGATTGTTTATTGCCAGTTTATAGAAATACAACTGATGTTTTCATATTGGTGTCATAACAACCTGAACTTTCTTTAATTCATTTATTACTTCTACTTTGGGGAGAGAACTTTTTAGGATATTCCGTATAGAATACCGTGACACCTGCAGATAGTGACGGTTGTATTTCTTCTAGTCCATTTTTTTCTTACCAGGTGCCTCAGCTACAACCTCCAGTTTAATATCATAAAAACACTTATCTTTGTCTTGCTCTTGATCTTATGAGACGGGAAAGGTTTAGGTTTTTAACCACTTAGGTTTTAAGTTTTTATAGATATTAAGGTACACTCAATCAGTTTGAGGGAGTTCTTTTCTGTTCCTAGGTGGTTTGATAATTTTATTGTGAAAGGATGTTGAATTTTATCACAGGCTTTCTCTATATTTAAGGAGATGGTACGTTTTTATCTTTTTTGAGTTATATGATGTATTCTATTATTTTTGTGTTTGGACCTATCCCAGCATTCCTGGAATAAATCTCAGTTGATTATGATATATACTGCTTTTTGATGGTACGGGATTTGGTTGCTAGTGTCTGGAGAATTTTTATATGTATATTCATGCAAGAAAGTGTGTAGTGTTCTTTTGCTTTCTTTGATTTTGATTTTAGGGTAATACTGGTTTCATAGAAAAAGTTGGGATATTTTCTGTTCTCTTCTTTTTCAAAGAGTATGTGAAGGATTATTGATTATTGTACTTTATTTATTTGGTAGACTTTATCAGCGACTCCATCTGGTGCTAGATTTTTCCTAATGGAAGTTTTAAAAACTAATCTAATTACTTGTTTTAGATTTATTCAGAATTTTCTATTGCATTGTGGCTTCTAATAAGAAATAAACTATCAATTGTGTATCATGTATGTGTGATTAGTTGCTGCTATTGGTTTCATGATGCTCTCTTTGTTATAGATTGCCATCTATAAACAATCTTTATTGACATCTAGGTGACATCTCGGTGTAAATCTCTTTAATCTTACTCTACTTGGAGTACACTGAGCTTCTTGGATTTGTAGTTTCATGTTTTTCATCCATTTCAAGAAGTTTTTCTCATTATTTCCTCAAATATTCTGTCCCTCACTGCTCTTTCTGGGACTGTCGTTGTATATATGCCAGTGCATGATAATGGGCCTTAGGTCTCTGGAGTCTGTTTGTTTATCTTTAGTCTTTTGTTTCTTTCTGTTTCTCACAAAAGATTATCCCCAGATGGCTCACAAATTCAGAGTAAAACAGCCATGCAAATGGGCTCTTTCAAAAAACTCTTGCTGGGCACAGTGTCGCACACCTGTAATGCAGCACTCAGGAGGCTGAGGCAAGATGATTGCTGTGAGTTCAAGGCCAGCCTGGACTATATCATGAGTTCAAGACCAGCCTGAACTACACAATGAGAGTCTGTCTTTTAAAAAAATGTCTCCCAAAGACCCGCTGGACAGGTCTAATAAATTGTTTTGTGGCAAGGAGGTTTTGAAGGCCCTGCCATCCCAACTGCCCCTCCAGTGGCGGCCACACTGCTGGTTCCACTTCAGTGCCACAGGGCGCACCACAGGGTGCAAAGCTAGGGGTCAGAGCAACGGCTTGTGGTGGGAACTGTGCACGCTAAATGCTGTCCGGCCTCTGTTCCTATGAGATCTGTTAGTCCTTTATCACAGCTGTAGTAAAGCACCATACGCTGGGTGTGGTGCTGCACACTTGTGATCCCAGCACTTGGGAGGCTGAGGCAGTGGGATCGCTACAAGTTCAAGGCCAGCCTGGACTACATAGTGAGACCCTGTCTCAAAAAAAAAAAAAAAGCACAATAGGCTGGATGGCTTGAATAACAGAAATGTCTCAGAGCCTTCTCACAGTTTTAATAGGTAGACGCTCACAGTCAAGATATGGGCAGTGCTGACTCCTTTGAGGGCTTTAAAGGAAGTTTCCAAGGATGATTAGGTAAGATAGCGGCCCAAGTTATTTTACTCTAGTAAAGCAACCTATTGATATCAAGGATTCAATAAAAATATTCAATAAAAAACAAAACAATCACCTCACCTAGATAAAAATTTGTTAAAGTTCAACATTGATTCATGACAAAAACAAATGAAGAATAGAGAAATCTTCAAAACCTGTGGAAAAGGGTGTGTGTGTGTGTGTGTGTGTGTAAGTATGTATATGTACATTTGTGTATGTGTGTTCAATAAGCATCTTGTCTTGTGGTAAAACTTTTAAAGGTTTAAAAAGAAGAATAAAAATATATATAGGTATAAATTCCTTATAATGAATATGATCATGATGTATATCTCAAATGTACCAATAAAATTAATTTTAAAAACTTTAGAGGCAGCTTCTTTAAAGTTAAGGAGAATTTTGATTCTGAAAAATAATTTTTATTTTATTGAATCATAAAAATCTTTACATGTGGTGAATCACTGAACAGTTACTGTGTGATTTCTGAAAAGTTGTGGTGACTTTTCTAAAAACTTATTTATGAGTAAACTCAAAACAATTCAATCTTTACTGTATTCCTTTTGATTTCCTAAATAGTACTATTTCTGCTTATCATGTTTCTTTAAACTTTAAAGCAAAGTGGATCAAAATGCTTAATATTTAAAATCAAAGTAATATTTGTTGACTTTTTAATGCTTTTCTTATTTTAATGCTGTATATTGTGCTATATTCTTGTAAAGCATATGTTATTTCTCTAATCTAGACAACTTATTCTAAGCTTTGTGTACATTAAATGTCTTGGCAAAACAGATAAAGTCTAGATGTAGAATTATCTTAATATTGCCTTAGTACTCTATAATTGAAATTATAATCTGAGAATAAAGTCAGTATGTCTGAGTTCTGAATAAGAAGAACTGACATACTTTGTTCAAGTTGACAGTACACACATTTACACTCACACACACACACACACACGAACACATACAGGCAAATAAAACACACTGCATGTTTTTAATATTAGTTACATTGATGCAATGCAATTTAAATCTTATCAAGGTAATAAAAAATTAATTAATAGAAATCATATAAGAGAATGTAATCCAACCTATACCAGCATAAGGTGCTACAGAGAAAGACAGAGCATAAAATATTTTGACCCACTTTGCTTTAAAGTTGAAAGAACCACGATAAGCAGAAATAGTACTATTTAGGAAATCAAAAGGAATACAGTAAAGATTAAATTGTTTTGAGTTTACTCATAAGAAAATTTTTAGAAAAGTCACCAGCAACTTTTCAGAGATCACATGCCAACTGTTCAGTGATTCACCATATGTAAACTTTTACGTTGCATTTTCAGTACAGGTCTATGTTATGCTCCATCAACGGAGTCCACATGTGCTGTGTGTTGACCAGCAACTTCGAAATGCTGAACTTATAGACCCATCATTCCAATGGCATGGGCCGAAAGGAAAAGTTGTTTCAGGTAGGATTTTGTTTCAGTTATCATAAGGAAACAGATACGTATTAAACGCACTCAATGAAAACAATATTTGTATCTCATAATTTATCTGTCTCTCCATTCTTTGTAATTCTCTCCTGGTGTTGGATATACTAGTGCGGATGGTGTTACCATCTTTCATATATCTTTATTGAATATAAAAATGTACTACAAGATTAATTGTTTGGAGACGTTTTCAGCATCTCTAGTCCAAAAGCAGTTATACTTCAGGAGAAATTAAGTGTTTGTATGACTGACTTGATTGCTTTTTTCGCTTTTCACCTTCTTATTTTTTGTTAAAGTATATAGCTAGCTTTTATTCTAAATTTTAAATTTGATAAATGACAATTCATTTTTGCAGTGTACTTTAAGAGGTGTAAATTACCTTGACTGGGCTTCATCCTTGCTAACGTAGAGACTAATGAGTTTTCATCCTAAAGACTTGTTCGATGAAGCACTACTCATTCTTGCATTCCACAAAGGAAGTTTTTCTTTACCATATTTTCTTTTTTGCCTTTGTTTCACTTTGTAATCCATATTGGCCTTTTGAACAGTTCTTTGGAGTAAAACCTGGTGGCTTACTAAATTATCCTGAATGAAGGAAAATATATTTATCTAAAGACTTGCTAAGGAAATATTCACAGGAAATATATATTTTGCAAGATATCTTAATTCATATTTTATGTAGTTGAGTGGTACACATTTTTGTAATATTTATGTTGATTTAAATAGCTCAGGCTTTAAAGAATTAATCTACTCTTTAGCCCACAGAGTGTTTCTTCTGAAGTGAGTCCACTTGGTAGAGGCTGTTGTAGGGGATATAAGGTCAGACATGGCCTCCGCCTCACCACAGTAACATGGTGGGAACCGTCATGCCATGTGTTCATGGACAGGAAGGATCAGTGAGAGAAATCCTACAAAGTGTGACGCTTCCCGGACATCAATGAAATGGTCCAATGTAAAAGAACTCAGTGCTGGAAATATAATCAAATTATATTTTTATTGTTCTCTGATATAGCAACATGCTATAATACAAACGTATGTTTTAAATATATTGTACAATTGATAGTAAAACTCTGTAAGTTGAAAAATCAAAACATTTATGCATGGGCTTTTTCTCTTATATTTGTTGTTTCTTTGATTTCGAAATGGAAATTTCTTCTTAAGACAGCATTCAGAGTCTTGCAGTTTATACTGCAAAGTATAGCATATAATTCAGTTTATACTTCAAGTAGGAGCACTTCCATAATGGAAAATTAGATATTCAGAAATGTGGCTATTTCTAGGTAAGGATAAAATCTCATTAATACAGTCTGTCTGCCCGTCTGTCCATCCATCTGTCCATCTGTCTGTCCCTCTATCCATCCATCCATCTATCTGCCTATCATCTATCTATCTGATCTGTCCATCTGTCTGATTGCCAGGGAATTCTGATACTCTTACCTCATGATTGCAGTTTAGTTTTTAGTGTAGCACCCTCTGGCGAGCTTGCCCCGGGTGCCCCAATCTTCCTGAGAGAGTGGGCAGGTGCTTATGAATGAGAAACCTGTTAGGGGGTGATCATCTTCGCTTGTCTGTGCTCCAGGGGGTCATCTGCTCACCAAAGTCTATACTTGGCTTATACCAGTTCAACAAAAACTTTTACCTAAATCTTCTCACCTGGTCTGCTGACAACTAAAGTGCACGACTGGTCCTTCCTCTAACTGCTGGTTGTCTATCAGAATTGCTCTACCATCTCGACTCCATAATGGAATCAAGAAAAGCTGTTAATTGCAATGTTTTCTGTTTATGTTTTCCTTTTTGTAATGGTGAAATTGATGTTTGATATACCCTTTTCATATCTGAATAGAAACCAGAAGTAGTACAAACCTGTTTTTGAAAATAATACGCTGTAATTAAATTGTGCTTAATTTTCTGTCATATAATTTTAGATTTTTAAGACACAGCCTCTTCTAAAACCTGTCTAACTCCATGAACTTTTAGATACTCAAGTTAGGAAGGAACTATGCACCAATTTTAATGAGGCAGTTGTTTAATTAAATATCTGTGGATGCGTGATTTCTCATACTCTTATATATCTATACTGGGTACATAGCCCCTGGCTTCGTAAATTTCCACTTAGACTTAGTCACTTAAGCATCTATGAAATGATCACTGATACAAGATATTATACAGTGAGTTCTTATATTAGATATGTAGTCTTTGAGTATCTTTTTGAAATATACTCTTCAATACTTTTAAACCTGAATATATCCAGAGGACGCTTTATTATAGAGGGCTTGCTACCCAATTTTTTGGCTCTCAAAATACTTAACATTTCATAGACATTTAATGCATTTATTGATACTTTTGGTGTGAAAATTTTCAAATTGCTGCAGTGAATATATCACCTCTTTGATACTGTGGTACTCTCTTAATTTCTTCAACATTTATGGACATGTTTTATCGTATTACTGTGAGGTGTTTGATTCTGCTCAAATATATGGCAAACATTTGCATACTACCACCCTGTTTTAGGAAAGAATCAGCATGGAAGAGTAAACACGTGATCTTTTACTAAAAGATATTCATGAAGAAATAGGTATCACCATATAAATGCACCAAAACTTCTATCAGCTTCAGCTGGGATGCAGAAATGGGAGTTTTCAAAGCATAATGCTCTGTGTAAGTTCCTCAGGGGTGCCGTGTTCATCTGTTCATTTTTCCCTCAGTGTATGAAGCTGGGCTTTGCACACAGTAGAAATTCAAGAAAAATTTATTAAAAAATCAATAAGGAAAATTTCAGCACGAAGCACACCTATCTGTTGTCTTAGTTTAAAGAAACAATTTGACTTATGATTTTAAACATTAAGTAATTACTTAAATAAAAACGGTCATTTCCTGCGACAATATCTTCAATTCTAATGAATAGAATATTACCTTATTGATGAAGAAATTCAATATCTGAGGATTTTTCTCATATAAAAGTGTAGTTATGATCTTTCAGAATTACATCTTATTTTCTTCATGATTTACAGCTTTTTCAAATACTTTATTAAGTATTGCATCTGTTATACAGAACAATCCCTATGAGATAGCCTGCCACATTCTGCACAAAGGAAGGAGTTGCACTTCACAAAGATAAAGTGTTTACCCAAGGCTGCGCAGTGTGTGGAGAGAAACGAGGTCCTTCTCCAGGTCCAGAGGCCTCAAAAACAAACTCACTATCGCTTTTCCGCATGGCTTTCTTCCTGTGTGATATTTAAGGCATACTGAAGTAAAAAAGGAGCTTACAGCCCATCCTGACTCCCAACACGGCACAACCCCAGGACTGTGTGACCCACAGCAGGCAGATGATCTGCTTATCTTTTTGTTTTTTTTCCCCATAATTCTCAAGGTTATAACCCAGCTTTTACCCATGTCTTGTGCAGCTGCATGAAATCTCTAGCTGTTAATAATTTTATTTCTGTAGGCTTTGTTCTAGATATACTCCTTTCTCTGTTTCCTAAGCTCACTGAACCTGTAACTCATCCTAAAAATATAGTATAGTATTTATGAACATGTACTGCATAAAATATATACTTCATATATAAGCATCTTATATATGGCACAGGTATGCTCTGTACACTGTCCATACATCTCCCTCCCTCTCTTTCTGTCTCTATCTATCTGTCTGTCTATGTACTGTACTTTTGATAATGCCCTTGTCTTGGTTACTTTTCTCTCATTGCTGAGACAAAATACCCAACTCCCAAAATGAAGGAAGGAAAGGTTTATTTAGCTCACAGTTTGTGGAGGTTTCAGTCCATACTTGGCTGGCTCCGAGGCAGAAGGTAGCAAAGCAACAAGAGCAAAGAGG